GGTCACGATCTCAGAGTCCTTGATTACAAGGAGCTTGTAATCAAGTTCCTTGCTGGGGTTCTGCACTCAGTGGGGAATCTGCTGGAGATTCTCTCCCTCTCTCTCTCTAAAAATAAATACATCTTTAAAAAATAATCTCTTTATACCCTTTACTCAGATTCATGAAATTATAACATTTTGCTAAGTTTTTCTAAATTTTTCAGGTAATGGGCAGCCTGGGTGGCTCAGCAGTTTAGCGCTGCCTTTGGCCCAGGACCTGATCCTGGAGACCAGGGATCGAGTCCCACATCAGCTTCCCTGCTTGGAGCCTGCTTCTCCCTCTGCCTGTGTCTCTGCCTCTCTCTCTCTCTCTCTCTGTGTCTCTCATGAATAAATAAATAAAATCTTTTTTAAATAAATAAACAAACAAACAAACAAACAAATAAATAAATATTTCAGGTAAATTGTATATATCATACTCTTTATCCCTTAATATGAGTGCTTCTTAATAACAAGGATATGCTTTTACATTACTATGGTATAGTTCCTGAAAAAAGTGCTGTGGGTTTTTTCCTCACACAGGATCCAACTGAGGGTCACATCTTCACTTGGTGGTCACATATACTTAGTCTCCTTTAACCTCTAAGGACTCCTAGTCTTCCTTTATTTTCATAATATTGACAATTTTAAAGAATACAGGCAAATCATTTTATTGAATACCCTTCAACTTGGGTTTCTCTGCTGTTTACTCATGACTGGATTTGGGTTATAACTTCTCAGCTTGAATATTACATAATTCATAGTACGTTCTCAAAGTATTATAACTGGAGGTATATAAAGTCCATTTCATAATTATAGTTACCATTTCCCTATTTGTAATTAATACATTTGCTGTCGGAGTTATTTTGAGATGATATCCATAATTTGTTCCTTAAGAAACTCTCCTCTCACCCCAGATTTAACAATGATTGATGAAATTTGCCTGAATCAATTCTTACTGCAATGATTGCAAAATGGTGATTTCCTATCTCTATCACTCCTTCCATATTTATTAGTCAAAAGAGTTTTCTCTGGGCACCTGGGTAGCTCAGTTGGTTAAGGATCTAACTCTTTTTTTTTCTTTTTTTCTTTTTAATTTTTTTTTAATTTTTATTTTATTTATGATAGTCACACACAGAGAGAGAGAGGCAGAGACACAGGCAGAGGGAGAAGCAGGCTCCATGCACCGGGAGCCCGACGTGGGATTCGATCCTGGGTCTCCAGGATTGCGCCCTGGGCCAAAGGCAGGCTCCAAACCGCTGCGCCACCCAGGGATCCCAGGATCTAACTCTTGATTTCAGCTCAGGTCATGATCTCAGGGTCATGAAATGGAGCCCTGCATCTGCATCTTTATCCCCAGCTGGCTCTGTGCTCAGCTGCTCAGCAGGGAGTCTGTTCAAGATTCTCTTTCCATCTCCCTCTGTCCCCCACCCCACACTCTCGAGCACTCTCTCTCTAATAAATAATTTATAAATCTTTAAAAAAAAGAGAGAGAGCTTTCTCTTCTCCTTTAATCATGTATCTATTTTATTAGTTGAAAGGAATAATGGATTATTTTATTCAGTCAGGTATATTCCATTTATTGTCCTTATTTAATACTCAAATTTGGCCAGTGGGAATCCACAGAAGCTGGCTTCTGGGCCTTTGACATGTCCCCAAATTTTGAGCAGCCCTTCTTTCCCTGCTCCAGCCCCTGAATCAGTCTTTTCTCCAAGGAACCCTTGAGGAGTTCACTTTAGTGAAGCTTAGTATTTAAAATCTAAGGTCTGGTTGGAAAAATTGGTATTTTAATTCTAAAAAAAGAAAAGATAGTCTTCCTATGAGCACTGCCTTTAGATTAGTTTGTGAAAGACGCATGTAAGATTCTATTCAGGGCAACAACAGTCTACTTGAGCTCTAAAAGAAAAAGGGCTTTCAAAATGAATCAGCAAATATTTCAACATGGCCAACCAACTATGACTTACTCTATTAAGTTATAATAGCTCTCTCAACCTTACTTTGGAAATTTAAAAACTGTAAGTAAACGGAGTCTTTAATAAAACTATTCCATTAACCTTTTCTGAAGGGCATGCAACTCTTAACAGGATACTACAATTCTTCAAACTCCTTAGAAGGCTATATTTATGTTCTGTTTACTACCAACCTGCCTTGGTTTAAGAGCTTTCTTTCATGCCACGGATAGAAGCAAGAAAAATATCAAGAGCAAAGGCATCACGTATTAATGAAGTAAAACAGAGAATACAGAATAAAGTATTGTTTATATAATATAAACAATATTTATATTGTTATATAAAATTTATATAATAAGAAAGGCTTGTTTTAGTTGAGAATCAATAAATTAAAACCACTTGTAGTACAGGCAACCTTATCCAACAGGCAAAGACCAAATAACCAGTCTGAAATGCAAAGTTCATCTAGCAAAGTTATAGAAGTAGTCTACAAAGATCAAATAGGATCTTATTTTCTAATACACCTAAATTTTTTTCAATACTTTGAGGTCTTTATCTCCCTATGATTTCTATAGACCAAAACAACTAAAGATTAAAATCTAAGGTAACAGTCTACCACTTGAAAAGAAAAGAAGCTAAGAAGTATACCAATACAATTTTTTAAAATAAAAACTTGGAATTGTCTCTTTTAAAGTACAAATCTTCTTTCATAATATAATGCATATTATACAGATATTCTTAGGATGCAATTTTTTAAAAGTACCAAAGATAGGCACTGAATGTAAGAATGTACTGTACTTCAGTAACAGACACCTCATCAAGTATCTATCCACAGATATAGATGCACATACAGATACAGATACACACACACGTATTTACAAGAGGTCAAGGAATATAATGGAAAAAATGGAGCCAGGAGTTAGGGGACTTGAGTTCTAATCTACAACACAATATATGACCTTGAGTAAGTTACCTAATATTTATGGGATTTCATACTGTCATTTATAAAATGAGGCAGTTAGAGCCATTGGTTTTATAACTTCTACACTATTTCATATTTTACCACTTCATTGTATATCTTAATTTCCTAAGGTTAATGAGAACTTCCCCAAAGCAAGAAACGTAATTTAAGCTAAATAGGAATAAATGACCTTAATACCCCTGAGATCCTTACTACTAGAGCTTATACTACCAGGAAAACAACTTGTATTTTTAAATAGCTAACATTTGGGAGCCCTGGGTGGCTCAGTGGTTGAGCATCTGCCTTCGGCCCAGGGCATGATTCTGGAGTCCGGGAATCAAGTCCCACATTGGGCTCCCTGCATGGAGCCTGCTTCTCCCCCTGCCTGTGTCTCTGCCCCCCGCCCCCTCTCTCAGTGTCTCATGAATAAATAAAATCTTTTTAAATAATAAATAAATAAATAAATAAATAATAATAAATAAATAATAATAGCTACCATTTATTGGAGACTTACTATGTTTGTCAGGTGCTGTGCTGAATGCTTTTAATTGCATCAGCTCATTTAATTCTTAAGACATGCCTACAGCAGGTATTACTGCCCCTCAGAACAGAGCTTAAAGAGATTAACTTACTCAAGGTCACAACAGCTATTAAACTACAGAACTGAGACTCAAACAAGGAGACTCCAAAGTTTACGCTCTTAACCACCATGCTACAGTACCTCCTAATAAATAGATCGTGAGCCAGATTCATTCTGAATTTAATTCTAACAGGTACTGATTATTCTCTAATTACAATAGAAAAAACTGCTAGGAGTGACAGCCAACCAAGAAACAATTTCAAATTAATCATGTGAACAAAAAGATTATTTAAAGGTTGCATTATTAAAGAGAAGAAATGTGTTTTGAGAAGTAACTTCTCCTTCTAATAAGACAAAACAGCAGCCATTAAATCTGAAAGACCAGCAAAGATCTTAAGGTGTGATATTATTGTTCATTTCACTATCTTCAGGCAGACAAAAAAAAATTCCTGACAACTACCTGAGGTGATAGGGTTTGTCCAAAACATCTCTTCTGATAGCATCAGCCCCATCTCCATCACCATTTCAAATTTACTGCATAACTCTGACTACCAACATGAAGGTTCAAAGACTAAGTCCTAACAACAGACATTCTTTCTTGCTTCCAGCTAGGCCACTTCAACTAGCCCGTCTGCTGACCGGTTAGAACACATTTAACTTCTATGACAATCCTTCTGCTAGGTATATAGCATTTTAAGAAGCAGACAAAAAGATAATGTACATACAAATCTATGCTCTAGAAAATATCTACTATGGGTTACTTTCACCCTTCCAAAAGCTCAAAGCCAGCCTTTTCCTATGTGTTCTCTATATATTTCTTCAAGATGCAAGCTCTCTCTCAAGCACTCAGAAAACCTCTTTTTTACATAGCCTTAAGCCTAGATATAGTAATTTCTAATAAGTTATGGTTAGTAAGGCTATTATACAAAGGAGAATAAACCAGAATCAAAAAATTAAAGGCACAAAAAGATAAAACATCCAAAAAGATCTATATTTGGATGATAATACATTTTATAAACAAAACTACAGGGATCCCTGGGTGGCGCAGTGGTTTGGCGCCGGTCTTTGGCCCAGGGCGCGATCCTGGAGACCCGGGATCGAATCCCACGTCGGGCTCCCGGTGCATGGAGCCTGCTTCTCCCTCTGCCTGTGTCTCTGCCTCTCTCTCTCTCTCTCTCTCTCTGTGTGACTATCATAAATAAATAAAAATTAAAAAAAAAAAAAAAAAGCTTTCCTTTAAAAAAAAAAAAACTACATTATTTCAATTCTCTTTATTACTCCTACAGAGTAATAAACAAGCTTCTCCAACACACAAGGACCTCTGATCAAAGAAGATTTTCAATTCTATATATTTTCTAACCCTTAAATCCCATTTCAGTTTCAAATCTGGGTTGCTATCCCCTAAATGCTTACAGTTATTAAAAAGCAGAGCCCACAGGCACTATGGATCTATTCTGTATCTCATTTGAGCAGAGAGGAAAAAAAAAATTACCCTTTTTTGATCCAACCCTGGATGAAGCACTAAAGAATTTCTTCACTGTGGTAACCTTGCGGGTCTTCTCATTCGTTTTCTTTTCTTCAAACTTGGAAAATGTGAGGGATTGGGCCCCTTGGCTGCTCTGACTGCTGGCAAAAGCCTCTTCCTCCTCCCGTTGAAGTCTGCAATTCAAGAGAGGATTAAGAATGAGCCACACATCCTCTAAGTTTTCCTTGTATCTGAAATTATTACTCAGTGAATTGCCAGGGGATCTAAAATTTTTAGAACTGGCGCCTAAACACACCAAATAGGTCTGAGGTGTATGATAAGAAACTATCCCTCCATGATGCTAGACTTCAAAAGGGATCTTCTCCATGGATCATATTCATTCATTGTAACTAACTAAATGTAACTAAGGTTACATAAAAGAACTAAACTCTAGTCATTTTCCCTAACAAGCTCAAGGTTGAAAAGGAGAAAGAGATAAGTAAATAATTACCATAAAATGTGATAGCTCCTACAGTAGAGAGTAAAACCTGACTGCCATGAGAACATAGGGAAGAACAACTCAATCTGCTGGAGAAGCCCAAGGCTTTACAATAGTCACATTTAGGCTGGTCTGAAGAGATGAACAGGGTTCCTCTGAGCGAAAGGACATTCCACGGAGAGGGAACTGAAAATGTGAAGGCATGTGGTTTCTTTTGTGGACCAAGTTTAGCATGGTCACTGATGGTGTGACCACGGTAAGAAACCTTGAATGCCAAATCCATTATAATCCTCGATTTCATCATGTGGTGGGGACCAAGAAAGACTGTAAATCCAATAAATTGCCATTATCAGATCTGTGTTTTAGAAAAGTAATGCAGGTAGCTATGTGATAACTTCAGGGGCAATAATTAAGAATACAAAGATTTAAGTGAGAGAAAATAAGGACCTGGAAACTGAGAAAGGGTGAAATTCAAAAGACTTCTCTGAGCTGGAATAAGTTCTACCTATCACTCAGTTACAGACAATGTGGGAGGTAAAGGAGAAATTAAGAATGATTCTAATGGTTTTTAGCCAACTGAATAAAACTATGATGCCATTAATTGACACAGGATGAAGGACAGGTAGGAGGAAACGTTGGGACTGAGGATTAGAGTAAATAAAAACGATAAATTTGGCCTAGGATGAGCTTAATTTGAGGTATTTATAATAAACCTCAAAGGCTGTCCATAGAACAATGGCTCTATATGGTGATCCCAGCAGTATTACCTGTGAACTTGTTAGAAATGCAAATTCTCAAACTTCACTCCCACCCTATTAAAATCAGAGTCTCTGAGGTGAGGTCCAGTGATGCCTCTTTTCATAAGGTTTCCAGGTGATTCTTATGAGAAACAGTGCTATAGAAAATCTCAAGCAAGGTCGCAAATGGAAGCAGTAAGAAACAGCAAGGAAATCACAGCTTAGAAGTGTTAGTCTGAGAATGGAATAGGGACACACCTCTCTCTGAGACAAAACAGAAGTTAACATAAAGATATTAGTACATTTTGCTGTGGGGAGGGGAGAAAGCTAAAATTCATGCCTAGTGACCTCCACTTTCTCATGAAATAGGATCAGCTACTGAGAATAGTGCAGTGGGAAACCGGATAAAATAATGTTCTTTGTCTACATTTTCATTTTGACCATATAGTTACTGAAAACAATGAGCATGCATTATAATTCTGAGTTCACCACAGATGCTAGCAAAGTAGTCACTCAGCAAATATGGCTGATTAGATATAAAAAACTAGCAAATGCTGTCAAAGTTCAGTCTGACTTTCTTTTATTGGAAGTTTTACTGTTTCTAGGATGTTTTGGCAAAAAATTAACATCATACATGGTATTTTATTCATCTCTATGCTCATCAGCCATTTCATCTTTTAGTTTTTATCATAATCATATTTCTGAATAATATAAACTACTTTTGACTAATCTCATTTTTAAGAAAAAGTTAAAATCCCAAAATGCAAGGGCTATGTATACAAATCGACAAGTTTCTCCTATTATGTTTATCACCACATCAGATGCCATGCTGGATATATTATAAGAATGAGGAAAATGATGCTTGATGAAAGCCCTGTGCCGAGCACTATGCTAGGGACATCATAGATATTACTGCATTTAACCTTCACTATGAAGTACATGTATCTTCATTCTTCTACTCTAAGAAGCCTGTTATAGAACTCAGACTAATACACTCTAAACACAAAATAATTAAAAGAAAAAGACAAAAATGAAGAAATCACTGAAAGCTATTCACCAAATGCTAAGAAAGGGGTAAAAAAAAATGCTTTTCTCTTAATATTAAGCTGACTTGCTAATAGCTCACAAGAGGAGAGAAAAATGGATTGTGAAAATGATAGAGCTGGATATTTAACAATATCACTGGTAAAACACCCCTATTTTAAGTCCTTTTACCGCTCTGCCAGTTCCCAATCCTCCTGAATCTGTTTCTGCCTTGCTTTGTGGTATTCTTCCCTCCAGCATTTGGAGCAGAAACCCTGCCAAGCAGGGTTGCCATAGTAACCGCATCCTTTCTTGCATAGGAGCTCCGACTGATCCACATGAATTCCTCGGCGTTCAGACTTAAGGCTCATCTTCTTCCTGCTAATCAAGTAAATAAGAAAATGTTGTTGCAAATGAATTATCATTCTTCCATTAGCACAACAATTAAGCACAACAATTAGCACAACAAAAATATGAGTCCATAATCTTTAAACTATAAGGCAGAGAAGGAGGAAAAATAACTACCAACAAGCTCCTGGGGCACCTAGCTGGGTCAGTTGGTGAAGCACTGGACTCTTGATCTTGGGGTTGTGGGTTTGAGCCCCACACTGGGTATAGAGATTCCTTAAAATAAAAACATCAGGAAGGCAGGCAGGCAGGGAGGCACAGTCATACTAAAGAAACACTTCTTATATCTTTCTCAATAATATAAAGAACACTTTAAGAAAGAAGTAATTTTGGATTAAAGACCTAAATGAAACACATGAAACTATAAAACACCTAAAAGAAAACATAGGGGGAAAACTTTATGGTACTGGATTTGGCAACAATTTCTTGGACATGATACCAAAAGTAGCACAAGCAACAAAAGGAAAAATAAGCAAATGTAACTATATTAAACTTAAGTTCTGCACAGAAAAAGAAACAATCAACAGAGTGAGAAGGCAACCGGTATGCAATAAGAGAAAATATTTGCAAACTATCTGCTAAAGGGTAATATCCAGAATATATAAAGAATTCTTACAACTCAACAACAACAAAAACAATCCAATTAAAAATTAGCAAAGGACCTGTATAACTCTCCAAAGAAGGTATACCAATTAATGTATGAAAAGATGCTCAACATCACTAATCATCAGGGAAGTGAACATAAAATCCACAAGGAGATACCTACCATTTCACATCCAAGAGGATGGCTACGGTTTTAAAAAAAAGTCAGATAATAATAAGTGATAGCAAGGATGTGGAGAAATTAGAACTCTCATACACTGTTGTGGGATGCAGCTGCTTTTAGAAACTGACAGCTCCCCAAACAATTAAATATAGAGTTACCATATGACCCAGCAATTCCACTCAAAGTATACATCCAAGAGAAATGAAAACATATGTCCACAAAGAAACTTGTAACAAATGTTTTCTTTCAAAGACTTTATTTGAAAGGGAGAGAGAGCCATGTGCAAGCATGGGGGGGCAGGGCAGAGAGAAAAGGAGAAGCAGACTCCCCACTAGTCAGGGAGCCTGACTGGTGCTGGATCCCAGGGCCCTAGAATCATGACTTGAGCCGACAGTAGACACTTAAACAACTAAGCCACCCAGGCACCCTGGTTATGAACAAATGTTTATAACATCATCTACAATAGCCAAAAGATGGAAATAACTCGAATGTCCATTAACTATAAACGGATAAACCAACCATAGTATATCCATGCAATGGAGTATTACTCGGTCATAAAAAGGATTTAAGTACTGATATATGCCACAATACCATCAACCTTGAAAACATGCGTGAAAGAAGCCAGTGATAAAAGACCATATATTATATGATCCCCTTTTTGTATGAAACTCCGGAACAGGTAAAGCTATAGAGACAAAAAGCAGATTAGCAGTTACTTCGGACTGAGGGGGTGAGAATGGGAATAAAGGAAATAGCTAGAGCATGAGGTTTCTTTGTGAGATGATGAAAATATTCTAGAATTGGCTGTCATGATAGTTGCCATTGAACTGTTTGATTTTAACTGGCTGAATTTTATGATATGTGAATGATACCTCAAAGTTTTTAACTTTTTTTTTTTTATTATTTACGATAGCCATACAGAGAGAGAGAGAGGCAGAGACACAGGCAGAGGGAGAAGCAGGCTCCATGCACCGGAAGCCTGACGTGGGATTTGATCCCGGGTCTCCAGGATCGCGCCCTGGGCCAAAGGCAGGCGCCAAACCGCTGCGCCACCCAGGGATCCCTAATTTGTTTTTTAAATATATATTTTTTTAATTTTTTATTTATTTATGATAGGCACACAGAGAGAGAGAGAGAGAGAGAGGCAGAGACACAGGCAGAGGGAGAAGCAGGCTCCATGCACCGGGAGCCCGACGTGGGATTCGATCCCGGGTCTCCAGGATCGCGCCCTGGGCCAAAGGCAGGTGCCAAACCGCTGCGCCACCCAGGGATCCCTGTTTTTTAAATATATTTTATTTATTTATCCATGAAACACAGAGAGACAGAGAGGCAGAGACATAGGCAGAAGGAGAAGCAGGCTCCCTGCAGGAAGCCCGTTGTGGGACTCGATCCCAGAACCCTGGGATCATGTCCTGAGCTGAAGGTAGACGCCCAACCACTGAACCACCCAGGAGTCCCAAATTTTAAATTTTTTAAAAAAGATTTTATTTGTTTATTTGAGAAAGAGAGAGAAAAGGACAGAGACAGTGAGAGTGAGCATAAGCAGGGAGGAAAGGGACAAGCAAGCTCCCCACTGAGCAGGGAGCCCAATGTGGGGCTCGATCCCAGGACCAAAGAGAGCCATGCACAAGCATGAGGGGTGGGGCAGAGGGAGAGGGAGAAGCAGACTCTCCACCAAGCAGGAAACCTAACTGGTCCTGGATCCCAGGACCATGACCTGAGCCAAAGGCAGATGCTTAACCAACTGAGCGCCAACAGGTACCTCAATAAAGTTGTTTTTAAAATACAGGTATATTGGGGATCCCTGGGTGGCGCAGTGGTTTGGCGCCTGCCTTTGGCCCAGGGCGCGATCCTGGAGACCTGGGATCGAATCCCACGTCGGGCTCCCGGTGCATGGAGCCTGCCTCTCCCTCTGCCTGTGTCTCTACCTCTCTCTCTCTCTCTCTCTCTCTCTCTCTCTCTCTCTCTCTGTGACTATCATAAATAAATAAAGAAAAAAAATATTTAAAAAAATACAGGTATATCTTGGAGATATTGTAGAGTAGGTCCCACATTACCACAATAAAGTAAATGTCATATAAAGTGAGTCAAATAAATGTTCTGGTTTCCCAGTGCACAAAAAAGTTGAGTTTATACTATATTGTAGTCTATTAGGTGTTTATTAGTCTTATGTCTAAAAGACACAATTACACAACTTAAATTGAAAATACTTTATTGCTAAAAAATACTTTATTAAAAAAACACTTTATTGATAAAAAATGCTAACCACCATCTGAGCATTCAACAAGTTCTAATCACTGATCAGATAGTATAACAATAATGAAAATGTTTGAAATATTCCAAGAATTACCAGATTTTGTGACACAGAAACACGAAGTAATAAGCAAATGCTATTGGAAAAAGTGGCGCTGACAGATTTGCTCAATGTAGGGCTGCCTTACAAACCTTCAATTTAAAAAAATGCAATATTTGTGAAACTCAATAAAGCTAAGTGCAATAAAACAAGGTATGCCTGTAAAAATCAGAAAAGGAGGGCAAAATGGAAAGTCAGAGAAATTCAAAGAACTATCAGCTTTGAAGGTAGAAAGACTATAAGCCAAGGAATATGGGTGGCTTCTAGAAGCTGAGAATGACCCTGGCTGACAGCCAGCAAAGAAATGAAGGCCTCATTGCTATAACCACATGGATTTCAATTCTACCAGCACTAGTATGTCTGGAAGCAGATTTTCCCCATAGCGTCTAGATAGGAGCCCACACTGGCTGACTCCTTAATTTTGACCTCTTGAGATGCTTGAGTACCTAAGTTGAGCACGCCAGTTCTGACTTCTAGAACTTTGGGATAATGAATGGGTGTTGTTTCAAGCTACTAAATTTGTGGCAACATGTTATGGCAACAACAGAAAACTAACATAGGCCTCCTTTCCATTTGTCTTCTGGGGACCTTTGCACTTTTATTCCAATGCCTAGAATGCTGTGCGCCCTGCTGTTCACATAGTGACTACTCTCTCATCGTGTAGGCCGCAGCTTTCATATCATACTTCTAGAAAGGCCTTCCCTGGCCACTCTATTTAAAAGTAGCATACCTCCCCCACCTGCCCGGCCACTCGATCTATACCCCCAAATTCCCAGCTCTTACCTCCACACTGCTCAGCATTATTTCTCTCTATCCTATCCATGTCTAACAAGGAAGGGTAGAGAAAGTGTTAATTAAGCAGGCTGAGTTGCTAAAACATCATGCACACTTTCAGAAAGGCCTGCTCATTATGTGACTGGCTCTTGGTCAGCTTCTGGGAATGGAAGTCTTGAAGTTGTTTTATATAAACACAAGGAGCTTGTGTAGCTTGGAGCTTCAAGCTACACCATACCAGCTTGTTTAGACAGTTCATTTAAATGTGTGATGTGTGGTGAACCCCTGCTTTCTTTCTGGGGGTCCAGAATTGTATTAACTATGATCAATCATGAAGGTATTTGTCCCTGTCTGACCAACCTCCAACAAAAAGCCTGGAATTCAAGCTTAAGTGAGTTTCCCAAACAGAAAACACCTCACACAGGTTGCTACAATCTGTTACTGGGGGGGATTAAATGCACCCCATGTGACTCCACTGAGAGAAGTCTCTTGGAAGCTCATGCCAGGTATCCTCCAAACTCTGTTCAGTGTACCATTTTCCTTTATTGCTCCTGCTTTGTATCCTTTTATTGGCTATAAAACAGCCAGGGGGGACCTGGGTGGCTCAGTGGTTGAGTGTCTGCCTTTGGCTCAGGTCGTGATCCCGGGGCCCTGGGATCAAGTCCTGAATCAGGCTTCTCACAGGGAATCTGCTTCTACCTCTGCCTATGTCTCTGCCTCTCTCTACTTGTTTCTCATGAATAAATAAAATCTTTTTTTTTTAAAGATTTTTATTTATTTATTCATGAGAGACACAGAGAGAGAGTCAAAGACACAGGCAGAGGGAGAAGCAGGCTCCATGCAGGGAGCCCGACGTGAGACTCGATCCCTGTTCTCCAGGATCATGCCCTGGACCAAAGGTGGCACCAACCCAACCCGCTGAGCCACCCGGGCTGCCCAATAAATAAAATCTTAAAACAACAACAATAACAACAAAACCACAGCCAGGAGGGGCACTTGAGTGGCTCAGTTGGTTTAGCCTCTGCTTGCGGCTTGGGTCATGATCTCAGGGTCCTGGGATCAAGTACCGCGTTAGGCTCCCTGCTCAGTGGGGAGTCTGCTTCTGCTCTCCTTCCTGCTCATGCTATCTCTTTCTGTCAAATAAATAAATAAAATCTCTAAAACAAAACAAAACATAGCCAGGAGAACAGGAGTCTTATGAGTCCTTCTATCAAATTACTAAATCTGGGGACAGTCTTGGGGATTACCAACATAGGGTGTGATTATAAAGGGGCAGCATGAGGGAGATCTTAGTGGTAACAGAATAGTTCTGTATCTTGACTATGGTAGTAGTTACAGGAATCTACATATGAGATAAAATGACATTGAGCTGCTACAC